AGTATGTATATACAATTATAATAAATGCAATATGCTTGTTAGGCCTGAGAGAAAGAGACAGAGAGAGAGAGAGAGACAGAGAGAGAGAACAAGAAACTAGGCCTAATGGCAATTCCAGCTACTATTGAGCAGGAGGATCCCAAGTTCAAGGTGTGCCTGGGCAACCTAGTAAGGCCATCTCAAATAAAAAGTAAAAAGAAGGCTGGAAATATATGTAATTCAGTGATAACCTTGCCTACAGGCATGAGACCTGGGTTCATCTGGTCCTGAAAAAATAACTTACAAAGCAAATTTTCAAAATCTCTGTATATAAAGACATTTTTATGACTCCACTAAAGAGATGGTCTTTCTTTTGGGGGAGGAGGGTTCATAGTTGGGCCAGGTATGGTGACATGCATCTATAATCCCAGAAGAAATATAATCTATACTCTATAATCAGGAGGCAGAGGCAGGATGTCATGTCAAGTATTTGGTTCACACAGGTCAGTGGAAGAAACAGGGTCACTCACTCTAGGATGATTTGTAGCCTTTGTGGCCCTAGGGACTCAACTGCTGGTGAACTGGCTGACTGAAGCTTTACAAAAGGTTTTTTTTTTTTATTGTTACACAATGTACATCTTAGCAAGTCAATTTCCATATACCAAAACCTCTTATCTAAAGCAAGTCAATTTCCATATACCAAAACCTCTTATCTAAAGCAAGTCAATTTCCATATACCAAAACCTCTTATCTAAAGCTCCCCAAAGAGACAAGTACCAAAGCAATTCTCAGCCACAGAACCTCTTGGTTTTCTGAATTCTTCTGCAACCAAGTTTTGCATAGGCTTTGAACCTTTAAGAAACTCAGATAAGATGTGCATACTTCAAACAGAAGATAGTGGACACGAAATGTAGCAGTCACAAAAGGCAGCTCAAAGCCTAGGTGCTAACCTTCAGAATCAAACCAGTTGCAAAACTCTGTGGGAACTCCTGCTTCAGTTCTAGGCTAGTCTGCTAGCCTGAGCTATGTAAGACCCTATCTCAAATACAGCAAAGGAGGACCAGAGAGATGGCTCAGAGGTTAAGAGGACTTGCTGCTCTTATAAAGGACTAAAAGAGTTCGGTTCCCAGAATCCACATTAGGCACTCACAACCACCGATAACTCCCAACTCCAGAGGATCTGACACTCTTTGGGAGTCCATGGGTACATGCACTAGTGTACACATGCCCACATGCATACACACAATTAAAAATGAACATTAAAAATAAAAAAGGCTAGGGATGAAGAAGATTTGGATTTGACTCACAGCACTACAGGAACTGACCAAGTGGGGCGTCATATACCTACCTATCATCCCAGCACTTGGAAGGTGGAGGGAGGAATAAAGCTCCAGGCTATCCTGACCACATACTGAGTTTGAGACCAACTACTGGGACTCCATGAGACTCTGGAACAGTCATGGAGGGGAAGCTTAGAATTACAAACCCAACTTTCTAAATGACCACTAATTCAGTGATAAACAAAATGACCATTTCTTAAAGATGTATTTTTTATTTTAAGAGTATGAGCGTATTGACTGTGTGTATGTGTGTGTACCATGGGCATGCCTGGTAACCTCAGAGGTCAGGCTTTGGATCATCTGAAAATAAAGGTACTAAGGCTTGTAAACTATGTGTTAGGAACCACACTCAAGTACTCTGCAAGAATAGCAAATGCTCCTGAGATGGTATCAGAGCCTTCTCTCCAACCCCAACAAAATAATCTTCTAAGGGGCCATTGATATATTTGGCTCAGCAGGTAAAGGAAGGTGCCAGCCAGAAGCTTGCCAACCTCAGTTGGATCCCTGAAGTTCACACAGTGAAGAGAAACAACTCCTCTTGAAGTTCCTGATTCCACACAGCATGACACATGTGCCTAGGAGCACACACTGACAGAGTAAGTCAATGTGGAAGCTTAAAGTTTAACACATGACACTGACATTCATGTGGAAAAATAAACATAAAATAATGAAAAGGCTGCTCAATTCTCACACACACAGAAATGAAGAGATACCAGCCTCTCTAAAAACACTTGGCCAGGCATTTTAACTGTTTCACAAGATCACTCCAGTACAAATTAGATAATATATTGGCCCAATTTACAAAACCTGAGGCTTGTGCAGAAGTACCTCCTGCACAGCCACAGAGGTAAGACACACTCATACACGCACAAGCATGCAAAATAAATGTACTTTTAAAATGTAAAGTTCTGATAACTTTTTCAAAAAAAAATTACCTAATGAGAGAAAACTTCTTTAAGCTTCCAGACTTTCTAATAAACACTAAAGTAAATGGCCACAGCCAAAACACAAAGGAAACAAACACGTGTTAAAAGAGCACACATAAAACCAAGTGAAACTGTTCTTCACTAATCACCCTCGCAAAAACTAAATGGGGTAATATCTAGTGTCTGCCAATATAAGAACAGGGAAGAAAGAGGGCAATTTAACAATCTGTCAGAACTGTAACTACATTTAGACATTTAAAGCAGAAGATCCCATGTTAGCAACGAGCTTAAGTGGCTGAAAATCATGTGAGTGTTCACTATCACATTACTTAGAAAATTGAAAACCTAAATGCCCACCAATAAAATCTGGATAAACAAACTTTAAGACCATATACAGAAGTAAATGCTATGAAGTTGTGTTTTTTTTTAAATGTATATATATGGAAATGAAAACATGCTTAATATATATTAAATAATGAACGTAAGTCTATCTGTATTTTCAAGTGAAAAGAGATTATATATACACACACAGAAAACTTGTGGGAAGCTACTCAAAAGATGTTTTATAATGACCGGCTCTATAGAGTCCAAATGGCACACAGGGACAGCTTGGCTTTACTATTTGAGCTTTTCTTTAATATAGGATTTCCCACATACACATACATGTAACTTCAACAACCCTTCTAGAAGAAACTTAACAAAAGACCTCACATTGAACAATAAAGACACAAACTTCAAGATACTTTTTTTTTTCAAACATTTACTGAACACAACACCATTTTTCCTTTTACACAGCAAAGTTGTTAGTTTCAAATTAGCTGAGCCATTAGGACTGTCAATTGCCATGAAATCAAAAGTGATTCTACATGTCAAACTCAAACAGAAGACATCATGCAATATATAAATCACTGATAGACCTCGGGTGCAGTCAGCAAGGTTACTATGCTTATTAAAGTCACATAAATGGCTTGACAAGAGTGCACGATAGAATGACATCACTGGCTGGTAATAAACCATGGTGAATTACTAAACTACAACTATGTAGCTCCTCTGCACCGAGGATGGCAGGATGCGGTGAACATTACAAAGGACAGGGTCTTCTTGCCAATTGGTTAAGGCCAGATTTTATTCCCCAGCTATGTACCTCTGTAAAGAATGGTTAGGAAAGCTGACAGGGAAGGCCCCTTCATCTTTTCTCCTCTACCAATTACTGAGCAACAACAACAAAAAAAAGCCATGCACACATTTTACAACACCCAATAAGAAAGGGATACAAAACCTGTCGGTTTCCTTCCTTGCAGGCTTGCATCCTCATGCCTTCATTTTTCTGATGAAGCCATTCATCCCATGATTCACCCCTAAAGGAAAGCTGACAGTAATTTAGTAGTAGTCACCCCTGCAACACATCAAAGATATAGTCCCCATAACCATCAAGCCACTGCCCCTTCCCAATACACTAACACAAAGGTACACTCCACAGACCTAGGACTAGAGACCACATTTACTTTACATCTGTAAAAGTCAATGTATCAGCACTGTCACTGGAGGATTTTGTTCCAGATCCCAGGGTTGGGAAAGGGATGTTGTATGCCCTGTCCCATCTCAAGGTTTGGGAAGGTCTACCAGAAACGTCTAAGGAAGCCCCTCGGTGTATGTACATAGTGAGGGGTTGTCAAATGATATCCAGAAAGGAGCTGTGCACTTTCAAAGTGAGAGTGACCACAGCTTAGAATCTGGACTGAAATCAGTTCACAGAGCAAAAGGCAGAGTTGAAGGTTTTACTTCTCCCTATTAATGTTGCAGGAAGTCTTGTCAGTGAGAAGGGTGCGCTCCTGAGCGCACTGGCATCTGGGTAGCTGATAAAGAACACTTCAGATTTTTATAACTCTGTCATAATAAAGCATAGACACTTTCATCCACCTACTCAAGAGTCCAATCACTGGCCGCTTCTCAACCAGCAAAGGACAAAAACTCTCTGCTCTGACTGCCCTATTCCAAGAAGGAAGCTCTTCCGCTTGGATTATGCAAAGCAGTCTGATTTCAAAGAGCTCCCTCAACTAAGAAAAATGCTGTTAACTGCTCTCTGAACTTGAATTTTCAGAAACACTTGTCTAATACAGTGTTGTCTTTAGGGAGGCATTGCTCCCAAATTATAGTTTATGTTAGTCAAACAATGCTGTCATATTTAAAGTCCTCACAATCACCATTTATCAACTATTAGTATAATGAGATCAAAACCCATCTCAGAAACTAGCAAAACCAAAGCCTGGCAGATAAGCCAGATGCTGTTGGGTTTGCATGTTTAAAGTTCCCACAGTGGGGAACCTTTGGATGGTTGGGCTGTGAGAGCAATCAGGGTGGACTGTAAAAAGCCGTGGTGTCAGAATCAGTTACCCCTTCTTCAGCAAGGGGATGGGTTTGCTGCCAACACCAAGTGTTCAAGTTCTAACTGCATAAAAAGTGGAAAGCACCCTCCTGCACTCCTGGCTCATCCAAATTTATGTGACAATTTACACGACAGAGAAGTGTTCTGAGAAATCACTAACACTGCCAAGAGTTGCAATTCAAAACATGATTCTACCAATAACAAACATCAAATGACAAACATGGCTGCAGGAGACAGCCCAGTGAGCTAGCTACAAAGCTACCACCGTCTACACCTATTTTTCTTCAAAAACAGAAGTTTATGGAACATTTGGCTGAGCTTATTTTTAAAGAATTCTACCAAAAACAATGGAAAAACCAGGCATGAAGATCACTTCTTCCAATAATGGCTTTATACAGGTGTTCCCCAATGCAAATCTGGAGTGACATTAGACACAGAATTAGACCCTCAGCCAGAGTGCACAATGTACAACTACAGTTTAAACAAATCTAGCCAGTTTCCCACCAGCATGGTTCAGTTTGCTCCACCTTCATCAGCACTGTCTTCCCCCCTTCCAAGCTGTCCTCAAATTCTATCTCTGAATATGCACATATTATCATTATCCTCATATATAAATAATATCTAGAACAGTGTTGGTCCTGGGTAGTGAAGGGGAAAAATGTTTTTAAAACATGCACATTATCTGATATTTTAAGTTTGGGTGCTTAAAAACCACATACATTAAAAAACGGAACCAACTGAGTACTAAGTGTCACAGCTATTCCTCACTGTCCATATTGGGCCTTAGAGTCCAAAAAGGAAAGACATGACCTGAACCTGGGCAGAGGGAGGACTGACTCACCTGTGCAGTGTGTCATCTCTTCCAGGCCACTGAGAGCTGCCAGAGCAAGGTGAGACATGAGTCATTGAGTCATGTCAGGAGGGTGACAGAAGTTCCCAAATTAGGGTCATTCCAACACCTCCCTTTAAGCCATCGTTCCTTGTAAACTCTCAAGTTAGGAAAATAGAAATATATTACCATGAAAGAATTCACCATCAAACACTCCTAACTGAAGCAAGAACACACACAAAGCACAGCTACAGCAAGTGTCTCACACCCTTGGAGCAGGAAGTTTCTCAAATCTCTCTTGCCCTACCAGGTATTTCATTTTGTGGGATATCTCTGTTAAGGCCCTAGGTGCTGCTTTTGGCTTGGTCATTTTTTATGCTGCTCCAACTGCAACCTTTCTCATATATTTTAAAAAGCAATATCCACAGGTAAAATGTTTGTGAAATCTTACAAGTTGTTTAAAGTTTATATCCAATGTTGCATCATGACAAGAAGGAAAACAAGAAGCTGTGGGCCTCCACTTAGGGTGCCATGCACTAGGGGTAGCTCAGGCATTCATTTGGCACTAGAGAAAAATTACAGGAACAACTAGTTTTACTTTCATTATCATTCCCAGAAGCAAATGTTCCTTAACTTGAATTTCTGTGATGCTTAAGGGAAATATCACAGAATACTCAACAACTGAAATGTTGCTGATAAAAGAAAGCAAAAAACAAAGACCTCAGCCTACAGTAGAATAGTCTGCAGCTCTGAGACATACCTTCTATGTGGCATTTAGAATCATTTTCCTCATCAAATACTTCATTTCCTATACCCTACTCCTGGTTTTCCTATATCTCACAATGGACTAAGTAAAAAACAACAGAAGTATGTCCTTGTTCATCTTACACCTAACAGGGAGACAGAAATAAATGCCCTCTGGAAAGGCAGTTACCTATTTTAAAGATACAACATAAGAGGAAAGGTCTAAAAGGGGACGAAATAGAATATCAGCTATACTACGACAATGTTTCATAATACAGCGTGCTCCTTATTTAAGTCTGTGAGCCAAAAATCAAATGCCTGACTGCAATTTAGATCCATCATCAAAACAGAGACAGGAAGAACTCAAGGCTAGGGGTAGAGTCTAGCAATGTCCATAAGGTTGAGCTAAGATTGCCAGTTAAAGACACTACCCAACATAATGCAATTATTTCCATGAATTCAACTTTCCAACAATAACTGCACATAATTTCCAGATTAATCAGTAGCTAAGTGTTTCGAGTCCTCCTGGTGTAAAAATGTGCTGTATCACTCTGCACACACAGTGAGAGTGAGAGCCATCCACGCAGGGCAGGAGCATCTCCCATTGCTCTCAGGGTTCCTTTTTAGTTCATTTTCTTCATGAAATCCTCAAAACTGCTGCACAGATGACATGCTGACACACCAGCTTAATAGAAATACTTTTGTAGGCAGCTGTTTAAAACATCATCAATTTTAAATCACAAATGCCCCGTATTACACAAAATATCTTACATTCATTCCTTTAAAAAAAAAAAAGAAAAAGAAACAAAGAAATGTCCAAACACCTTCCAGTTACACCTGAACAGTGCTGCTCTGTTTAGTGTGCTGAAATCAATACATGAGACAAGAGCCAAACGGAACCAAGGATGGATGGGCTGAAAGGGTAGTGGAAAGAAAAGGACAATTTATGAACACATACTTCTATTGTCTGTGATTAAAGTCCTTTACTTTTTAGCACCACATTAAACGATTTTACACATCCAGTCACTTAATGAAATCCAACAAACTCTTCAAGAGTCCGGGGGATCTGGTCTTGGTAGTTAATGTCATTAGCCCGAACTGCTCGGGCAGCCAGGCACTTGAGGCTCATCTTCATCTGAGTTTTAAGTAGTATTTCAGACACCCCAGTCGTACTTTTGTCTAGTGGAGTCTTATTCTGCTTGTTTGTCATGTCAGTGTGAGCGCCGGCCTCCACAAGGCTGATGATGATGGAGTGCAAGGTCAGAAAGTCACTGATGGGCCTGTTGTACTGGACGATAATGTGGAGGGCACTGTTCCCTTCATTGTCCACGGCATTCACCTCAGCACCACAGTCCAGCAGGAGCTTCGTGACCAGTGCGTTGGGAAAGCTGCAGACATCATTGGTGTGAAAATCATCGACTGGTGTGTTTGAGTTGACAGCCAGGTGTAGCAAGGTGAAACCTTCCCGTGTTCTGGGGTCCAAGTGAATCAGGTTGTAGATCTGCTTGTTAATTCTGCACTGGTCTTCTTCACTACACTGTGTCTTGGTGGAGATGCACACCAGGTACAGAAAAGTATAGAGGTTACACTCGTAGTTGTCCATGGCACTGTGGACATCAGCATCGGAGATATTTTTAACTCTGTTCATGCTCTGCTCTATTTCCAAAACACTGCATCTCAGAACACATTCTATGTCTGGGGCCTTCACAGCTTCATTGAGGTGTATCATCTGTGAGAAGACTTGAGCAAATCGAAGCAGATCCTTGTGGGTATTCCTATTACCTTTCTGCCTGAGGTGTAGTGCATGAAGCCACAACTTGATGCACTGCTCGAACTCCATGTTATCAGCATAGACAGCCCCTCTGTAAATGATAGGATGGGAAACATCAATGTTGTCAGCACCTAAAATCCGTTCCCGCACTATAAGGCCCTCCATGTGAAGAGCATCTCTGTCTTGCCGAATGGACTCCAGTTCCTGGGGGTTCCTACACTCAGTTCTGTTGCCATAAGCATGGATGGGTGGGAGAACCTCTTTTTCAAGAATGTTGTCACCATCTTGAAACCTCTCCAACATGGCTAAATATAAATAGTGGTATGTCTTCATGATGTCATAGTTCTCACGGTCATTTGCAAAGGAGGCACCCAAAAGCTCCAAGGCTTCAATCCGACTTCTGCGGTCACAATCGGCATGAGAGAGCAACAGTTCAACAACATCAGCTTTACAGCTTTCGGCAGCTACCTTCAACGGTGTCATACCATGGCCGTTCACCACTATTGCAGCTCGCCATTTTATCAGCTCTTTCACAATGTCAATGTGACCAGCTTCGGCTGCAAAGTGCAATGCTGTAGCTCCACAGTGTGCTTTAGCATTGGGATCAGCGCGCTGTTCTAAAAGGTATCTGACCACATCAGTGTGCCCCTTATATGCTGCGATCATCAGGCAGGTGTTGTCATACTTGTTGGCAATGCTGATATTGGCATTATTTTCAACCAAATATTTCACAATGTCCAGTCTGCCATCAAAGCATGCTGCCCGCAGTGGGGTTGAGTTAGTGACTGTGGTGTGGTTCACATTGGCTCCATGGCTGACAAGAAGTTTAACAACTTCAAAATGTCCAGCTCCTGCAGCACACCAAAGAGCAGTGGCACCATCAATGACATACCTGCATACAGAGAGAACAATCAATCAGACAATGGGCTCACAGGCCCTGACATATTTAAAAGGGTACATTCACAGACACTAGTTGAAATTCTACTCTCCCAAACATTAATAAAGTATCAGTATGGGTAGAAATAAAAACAAGTAATTTAAGCAAAGCAATTTATACTAGCATGAAATCAATAAAGCTATTTTACTTTTATTTCTAAAGTTCATTTTTTAAAATCTAAAGAATACTCTCTACTGACAACAATACACTTCAAAAAACACAAGAGGGGCTGGGGCCAGGTGTGGTGGTGCACACCTTTGATCCCAGTGCTCAGGAGGCAGAGCAGATGAGTTCCAGATGAGCCTGGTCTACAAAGTGAGTTCCAGGATAGCCAAAGATACACAGAGAAACCACCTTAACACACACACACACACACACACACACACACACTCATTCTCATTTTCTTTCTCTTTTTCTTTTTCTCTCTCTCCCTCTCCCCTTCTCCTTTCTCCCCCCTCCCCTCTCCCTCTCCCTCTCTCTCTCTCTCAGCTGAGGAGATGGTACAGTAGGGAAAGTACTTGCTGTGCAAGCATGAGGGCCTGAGTTCAAATCTGCAGACTACACTCAGTGCCAAGAGAGCGGCAAGTGTCTATTATCCCAATGTTACTACTGTGAGATGGGAGGTAGACAGGAGAATCCCCAGAAACTTATGGGCCAGCTAGTCAGGTATACACAGCATCAAACAACAAAGTAACCCGTCTCAAGGAAAAAGGTGAGGACAAATACCAAGGCACATACAGATACACAACCAAAAAAGATTTATCTCCAAAAATATTTACGTTATGACTCATAACAGTAGCAAAATATGAAGCAATGAAAATAATGTTAAGGTTGGGGGTCACTACAACATAAGCAACTGTATTAAAGGGTCTTAGCATTAAGAAGGCTGAGAATCACTACCCTAAGATTACCTGAGCTACAGCAACAAGAATGAACAATCACTGGTCCATTAAATACAGACAGCTGGCCAGGTGGTGGTGGCGCTCATCTTTAATCCCAGCACTTGGGAGGCAAAGGCAGGTGGATCTCTGTGAATTCGAAGCCAACCTGGCCTATAGATCCAGTTCCAAGAGAGCCCCCAAAGCTACAGAGAAACCCTGTTTCAAACAACAAACAAACAAAAAATATAGACAGCTGTATATTGCTTTCCTTTGGGAAAGGTATTGGATGGTAGGATACACATGAAGACTTACTAAATATGCTAAGCATGTAAATATAATGCTGTATAAATAAATATGCTTTTTTAGCATGCAACATAAAGTTAAGACATGTGTGTATATTGTACTATGCGTCTGTATATATTCCTAAAATAAACAATTATGGGATAGCAAGAGCAGGAAACACTAGCATTTGGAAATCACCCAAGTACCTCCCTGACTTAAGATTGTGGACACTGAAGCTTTGGTTACCAACTACTCAGGGCCTCTGCTACAAGCAGGGTTGCAGCCTCTACAAAGTTAGGTTCTTCTGACAAATCCAACCTTTACCACTTTCCCCCAATCTTCTTTTCCTAATTTTAATACTACTGATAATGGTTTCATGGAACCTAAAAAGATTTTTGCTAAAGATATTTGGAATTACTGTGCTAGAACAATAAGTATACTCGGCAATGTTAGGGTAGAATGCTGACCAAATAATTATCCCCTACAACTAAGCACACCAAAAATCTTTTAATGAGCTTCTCACTACACAACCTTATGTTGCAATGTAGGCCAAATTACAACTCCCACAAAGTGAGAGGGTGCAACAGCCATAATGCCTTTCCAAAAGTTAGGTATTAGTTACCACAGCAGCAAGGATGCCTCCCTGTCTCTTCTAAATTCCAGCTCTTATGAAAGAGACTCAATTCTTGGCAATGGCAGGTTACCCTGCTCTTCTGCCTTCTACCAGGAACAACAGCACTCTGCTCTGCAGGATGAGGCCCTCGATGGACAACCCCATCACCCTTCACTTGACTGTCCCAGCATCCATGATATGGGAAATAAATTGCCACTCTAAGACTCACCTAATCTTAGATATTCTGTTATAGCATAGCAGCACAAAATGAACTAACTATGACTTAGAAAACCAGCTGGGCATGGTGGCAGATAAGGCTAGCCTGGTCTACAAAGTGCATTCTAGGATAGCTAGGGCAAACAATAAACAAAAATACTTATAAAAACATAAATTAGCTCCAGTTAACACCACAAAAACAATATCACCTATCCTGTTTCTAAAAAATTAGACTTATTAGCCAGAAGTAATGGTACATAATACATACCTTTGACCCCAGCAATCAGGAGACAGAGGCAGGTGGATCTGATTTCAAGACCAGCCAGGGCTACATAGTATATGCGTGCATGTAGTTGTACCCCAATATGTGTGTATGTGTAATATACAGGCACAGATGCCACTGCATCTGTGAGAGGACAACTTGAGGGAGTTCGTTCTTTCCTTCCACCATGTGAGTCCCAAAGATGGAACAAAAAAATGAGGTCTGGTCACAGTGATCTTTACTGGCTGAGCTATCACAGGACCCTGTATTTGTTTTTGATACAATGTGTTAATAAAGACTGAAAAAAGTCCTTTTGAAATTGAAACAAGTGTTGATGTACAATGTTTCCTTTCCGTTGGTATTTTTTATGCTATTCAAAGGCCTTTGGAGTATTTGGTCCTATGTAAACATACTAGTTACCTATCGGCAGGATGGGCATGATAACAGTATCTACCACATAGGGCAATTAGCAAGTTATTGTGAAGACTGAGCTATATTGCATACTAAGTAGTTAGTACAGCACTAGAGATATTGAAGTACTTTATGTGAACAATCTGATATAAATCAGCTATTTTTTTTTAAAGTCAGCCGTATCTCTTTAAGTCTACACAGCTTAGATAGGACTACAAACCCAGTAAAATTCAAATTAAAAAAAATTAATTTATACTTATTTTATATGTATGTATATTTGTGTTCATATAGCACAACATGCAGGTGGAAGTCAGAGAACAATCTGTGGGAGTTGGTTCTCCCTCCTCCCAGTTAGGTGGCTCTGCAATTGAACTTGGTGGCAAGTACTTTTATCTAATGAGCCATCTCGCCAGCCGTGAATCTTGAGTGTACATCTATGAACTCATTTTCTGATCCAGGTGTAAAACATTATGGCCAACCTAAATGTTGTCCTTGTTCCTTTTCCTAGTCAGTTCCTCCCTAGATCATCTGCCTGCATATGAACTTCCTATTAATGAATCCATGCAGCACACTCATTCATACTTGGCTTTTTTCACTATTTATGAGAATCTTCCATGTAGTTGGACGCATCAGCAATTTCTTCTTTAATTCTATATAACATTTTATTGTATGAATGTTCTATAGTTTATTTTGGTTTTGTTTTGTTTTTGTTTTTTTGGGTTTTTTTGTTTGTTTGTTTGTTTTTCTGAGAGACAGGGTTTCTCTCTGCAGGTTTCTCTCTGCAGCCCTGGCTGTCCTGAAACTCTGTAGACCAGGTTGGCCTTGAACTCAGAGATCTGTCAGCCTCTGCCTCCTGAGTGCTGGTATTAAAGACCACATTACTTCCCAGTTCTCTACAGTTTAGTTATACATTGTGTTCTTAGTGGCCATTTTGGTTGTTTCCAAGGATTGACTTTTATAAATAAAGTTATTCTTAACATTCTGTTTTGTTTCTGTTTGGGACAGAGTCTCAATATGTAGTCCTGGATATATCCTGGAACTCACAGAGATCTACCTGCCTCTGCCTCCTGAGTACAGAAATTAAAGGTGTGCATCACCATTGTCTGGTGTCTATGATCTTTTAAAAAAAAATTTTTATTTTTTACATTTGTTTGGGAGGGAAAGGAAAGCATGTATCAAGGTCAGAGGACAACTCTCAGGAATCAATTCTCTCCTTCCACTGGATAGTTTCATGGGACTGGACTCAGGTTGTCAGGCTTGGAGGCAAGCACTTTTACCCACTAAGCCATCTTGTCAACCCTAAGGTAGGCTGAGAAAGCCAGAGACTGGGGGTTTGGGGTGGGGTGAATGGAGAGAGGGAGGAAAATAAAGTCTCTAAAATATTTGCTCTTTAACTTTTAATTTATTATTTATGTGTATTTTGCTTAATATATGTGTATACCACATCAGATCCCCTGGAACTGAAGTTACAAGTGGTTGTGAGCCTCTATGTAGTACTGGAAATTACACCCATCTTTCCAGGACCGTGTAAGATAACAAAGGCTGACTTTCTCCCATACTAATTGCTCCAGCACTGCTTATTTAGAGAGTGTATCTCCTACCAGAATTTCACTGGGATTTTTCTTTCCTTCCATGGACTTGAACCCAGGGTTTCATGCACCTTAGACAAGCATTCTACCACCAAATACATTCCCAGTCCCTCTGGAGCCTTTTTCATTAGCCAATGACACCAACTGAATTTATTTCTGAAATGTTATCTTGATATATACTTTATCCTTGCATCAGTGACACACTTAATTATGGTAATTTCTTACTTTTTCTTTAAAATTATCTTAGTTACATTTCTACATACTTTTAGGATTGGCCTGCCAGTTTTTACACACGTGCATATACATGTAGCCTGCTAGGAATATGATTAGGTTAACAGCAAATGTATAGAGATCCCTTTGGTGGAATATTCACACTCTGAGGCTATTGAGACTTCTAAACCATGAACTTGGAGTCTTTATGTTTGCTACCTTAGAGATATTTTGTAATTTTCAGTGCAGAAGTCTTAAAAAGCGTATGTCTTGTACATTTTTCCTTTGATTTACTACTAGAAAGTGATTATTTTATAACAGTATTACAAATGGTATGTTATGACAATGAAAAAATTTGTAACTGATTCTGTATATTAAATGAAGTTTAACTATACTAATTTTAATTGGACACCTGTTTAAAGGGACAATTGGCAATCATGAAGCTATTCTTATCTAACATTTCGCTAACTCTTCACACTCCTTTTTCCTTT